TTTTTTTTTTTTACCCAACTTTAATGCTGGATGTGTAAATATTATTATAAAATAATATCATTTAATCATTTAATAGCTTCTGTTTTTTCTATCTGAATTCAGGTTCTCTCTTTTAAAAAAAAAATAATATATTCTTTTACTTCTTAGTTTGAATGGAACACTTAATAAAAATTATGAGTTTTTGTTAGTTAAAAAGTATTCTCATTCAATTTGTCTTGGTCATACTAATTTAGGACACACTGCTGAATGAGCTCAAGCCACAGATGAAAGCAGCCATTTTGAGATGTTCTGCATCAAAAAATCCAGATGACCTGAATTTGTTTGCCAAGCTTTTCCCTTACTTCAATGGGAAGCACCATCTGGAAGAGATGATGTTTTATGAAAATCTCAACAGATCTCAGCTAGTGGCTCTACTTGATAAGTTCAAAGAAGTTCTCATATTGTGCAGCCATGAAGATCCAGCAACTTCACTTTTATAGGCAGTAAATACATGTGAGGATCATATCAAAAGTAATAATTGGTCAAGTGGAATGTGAAAGGTTAAACTTTTAAACAAATTGTCACAAAACAGGGGTAAAATGTAACTGGTAAGAGATCTCACATAGATGCATGAGAAAATAGTCTATTGATTGTGATCAAAGTTCAACATATTCTTTTTCAATGCTGTAACCTTTAAAAGTTACATGGTGGAGTTTCGAGTGCAATGAAAAAATGGCCAACTGCTCACTAACGGAAAATAAAAACAAATACAAGGTACACACGTTCAATAACTTGATAAAAAAAACAAAAAAAGGCACTTATTCTATTAAGTTTTAGTGAATATGAAATTATCTATTCAGCACATTACTGATGTTGTATCTGTTGTAAAAAGGTTACACCGTAGAGTTCATTTAAGGAATGTGTGTATAATGTTAATTTTATAAATATTGACTACTTTGTTCTTCCTGCTCTGCAGAATATTGTACATTGCGCTCTCTCTCTCTCTGTGTGTATATATATATATATATATATATATATATATATATATATATATATATAATATTTAATTTATTTTTAAAAAATCATATAGATTTTTAACAATAACGCTCAATAAATGTACACTGATGTTTTTCTTCTGATTTTTAAAAAAAAACTTTCGTTAAAATATTTGCATTTTTTGTGCACATCCGATTTGCGCACCAGCTGTACCCCCTTTGTCTAATAAGCCGCATCACTTATAGCGAAAAAACAAACTTCACTAAATAATATAGATCAGTGGTCCCCAAATGGCGGTCCGCGGACCCTAACGCTGCCGGTCCCCATAACATAAATATTTATTGTCAAATAGAAATAAAAGTATAAAAGAAATCATGCACAGGTCAATGGTAAAATTTCGAAACGTGTTCACCGGTCCGCCAAACTTAAACGCTTGGGAACCACTGATATAGATCATCCTACTTCCGACCAAAACAAAAGGAGATCGCTAAAATTCTATTTTGATTGTGCTCTATCTCTTGGCGCACTTCTATTGGTCCTCTTCGCTGAAGAAGGCTCAAAGCCAAAAACGTTCACATCCCATTGTCACGTCTTTTGAATCCAGTTTCAACATACCTTGTTTCACTATTATTGTATTCCCTAAATCATAGGCGCCCGCAGAAAACTTTCTAGGGGGGGGGGGCAAAAAAAATCGATTAACTTTCCAAGGGGGGGGGCATACATTTTTTAGTAATGTTTTAATGTAGTTTTAATTTACTGTAGCGTATTTGTATGGTGAACGAACGGACAGGACATCAGCTTAGTTACTTTCTCTTCATTTTTTGTTCTATTTTTGTCTAAAAAAATTTTATCCAATCAATCCAGGGGAAGGGGTGTGGGAATTGCCCCACCTTGCCCCTACCTGCGGGTGCCCATGCCCTAAGTAAAGACAACCAAAAAAGATAGCCCAAAAAAATAGATAAAAATCGTGCTAGCCTCCAGCAACCAGAGGTCTTTCCTCTCTATACGAAGCTGCTGATGTAACGTTTGGGATTTCGGAATAAATTCCCCTTCTCGGCGCTCATTTTAATAATAACGTTATCATGTGGCAGAAGAGTATCAAGTCCATATTAAACATCTTATGTGGTCCAGACAAGCAGGAGAGACAAACACTGATCAGTGTACATTGTATCCGTTGACCTTACTTTTGCGAGGATATAATCATCAAAGATGACCATAATGCCACCACTGCTTTTGTTTTTGTACTTATTATTATATCATGATTATTGATGTATTAAAACTGATGTCATTGGTTTAGTTTCTTCACTTCTTAAAAACTTTGTGAATTTATTTGTTTAAACATTTTAAATTAGATTTCAAGATGTGTTCCTCTTCTTTACCGGATGTATCACTTGTACGACATTATCGTAACATCATCCTCGGACTTAATACAGACGCCAGCCTCGCCACCTTCATTTAAAACCGAAAAATTCCAACTATAAGTAACCAAAAATCACTCTAATTTGTTAATGTGTCACAAAGTCATATGGTGTTTCCTTGTCACAAATTCATATGGTGTTCATGTGTCGCACGCTCATATGGTGCTCATGTGTTACAAAGTCATATGGTGTCTCCTTGTCACAAATTCATATGGTGTTCTTGTGGCGCACGGTCATATGGTGCTCCTGTGTCACAAAGTCATATGGTGTTTATGTGTCAAACGGTCATGTACAGCTCATGTGTCACAAAGTCATATGGTGCTCATGTGTTATAAAGTCATCCGTTGCTCATGTGTTTTGTAGTCCAAATATAGTTGGTGTGTTTTGATGATGTATTCGTAGCATTTCTCCAGGAGACCTCGCAAAGTAAATATTGGATCTGTTGTTGATCTGTTCTGTCGGATCCATTGCGGCATTGTGGGTGTAGTACCCGGTTCTATTGGCATTATGAGAGCAGTGCCCCATTCTATTGGCATTATGAGTGCAGTGCCCCATTCTATTGGCATTATGAGTGCAGTGCCC